TAGATTAAATCCTCAAGACCTTGGATCACACAATGGTTTCTTAGATAAAAGTACAGGCACTTAAAAATTACATAAATTTGATTTAATCAAAATTGAAAAATTCTGTGCTTCAAGGATATTATCAAGAAAGTAAAGAGGCAACTAAATAAGAGAAAATATCTGAAAGCCATATATCTGATGAAGTTCTAGTATTTGGAATATATAAAGAACTCTTACAATTCAAAAAACAATGAACTCAACTTAAAAATGAGCAAAGAATCAAGTAGGCATTTTCCAAACAAGATATATGAATAATCAATAGGACAGAAAATAATGCCTAACATCATTAGTCATTAGGGAAAAGCAAATCAAAACCACAAGATACACTTCACATCCACTGGGAGGGCTATAATAAAAAAGACAGACAATAACTAGTTTTGGTGAGGATGTGGAGACATTGGAACCTCCATATATTGCTGGTAGGAATGAAAAATGGTACAGCTGTTTTGGAAAATAGTTTGGCAGTTCCTCAAAAAAGCTAAACATGGAGTAACCATATGACTAACAATGTCACTCCAAGAGAACTAAAAACATATGTCCATACAAAAACTTGTACACAGATGTTCACGGCAGCAGCATTCATAATAGCCCCAAAGTGGAAACAATCCCAATGTCCATTAACTGATGAATGGATAAAGAAAATGTAGTATATATACACAATGGAATATTACTCAGCCACAAAAAGGAATAAAATACTGATTAACATTAGGACATGGAGAATCTTTAAAACATTATGCTAAGTGAAAGAGGCCAGGCAGAAAGGCCAAATATTGTATAATTCCACTAATACAAAATGCCCAGTATAGGCAAATCTATGGAGACAGAAAGTTGATTGTGGCTGCCATTTTAAGGGAGAGGAGAATGGGAATTGACTGTCTAATAGGTATGGGGTTTTCTTCTGGGAGTGAAGAAACATTGCACAACTTTGTGAATATACTAAACCACTCAATGTATACTTTAAAATGGTGAATTTTATGGTATGTGAATTGTATCTCAAAAAAATCCCTGCATAATAAGGTGGAGCAACTTCAAGACGATTTCCCACATGAAATGGCTACTAAAAGGCATTTTTATTTCTATAGGGCCCTTTCAAATAATATTAGAATTAGCACACGGCAGCCTCATTTAACATGACTCAAATTGGCTCATGGTTAAATGACAAATCAGTAAAGCAATTGTAATAAAAATATTCATCTATATAACAGATTTTTAAAAACATTCTCAACCGTTGAGTTACCATCTGGACTTCTAACAGAAAAAAAAAAAACTCAACAACTTTAAACTAAAAATTAGTTCACATATTCAACCTTATGCAATTTTAGAAACACTAGCAAAAATGTGTTGAATCTAACAAATAAATATATACTTCAAAAATAAGAAAATTATCAATTTGCAAACTCAAAATAATGGAAACAGGCAATGATCCTCAATGAATATGCTGCACCATTAGGTGAAAGTTTTCTGGGAAATTTGATGATGGGACAGATCAAGCTGACAACTCTTGAACTCACTAAACACTCTTAACAACATTAAGAATGAAACAAAGTAGACATTATAACCTTCATGCTGGATATGAAGAACTAAGATTATTTCATCACTTATGAAGCATTTCTGCTAATATAGACATACATACATGTATACACACATAACTTGTTTAAGTCTCTTCATATCAGTGTACAAAAGACAGTTGGGATAGAGGAATAAGTTGAACAAAACGAGTGTGCAATCAACCAAATCTAGAATCTGGTTAATTTTATACAGCAAATGATATAGTCTGTTTTAACAATAAATGCATTAAAAAGAGAGGGGGAACTGTTATAAACAAAAAGAGGCTTATGAATCATATAATTTATCTTCCAAATTAGGATATTTTTGAGAGTGAAAGGAAGTTCTATTTTTTTTGAAACGAAGTTCTATTAATTATTATGCTAGACAACAGGCATGAACTGGGACCACTCAAAAGTTTCAATCAAATACAAGGTATGGGCTTTCACGTTGTCAGTATCTTTTTACTTTTTATTATTATTATTATTTTGAAACAGGATCCAATTAGGGAATCTGAATGTGGTCTGAACATGAAATGATATTAAAGAATCATTGACATGACACTGTAACTAGGTTTTGTAAAAAAAAAAAAAAAAAAGTCCTTATCTGTTAGAGTTACACACTGAAATGTATATGCGTGAGATGGTATCTGTGTTTCGCTTTAAGACACTGGTGGGGGGTGGCGGTGGGGGTAGGAAGTGTCGGGGAAACATGTGAAACAGTATTGATAAAATGTTGATAACTACTGAAGCTACATAATGGATCCATGGGGATTCATTACCCTGCACTCCTCCATTTATGCATGTTTGAAAATTTTTATAATATAATGTTAACTTAAAAAATTTAACATCACCCAGCCGGGCAGAACACGTTTCTGGCTTTGACTTCTTATAATGACAGATACACTCCCACAACTCTTACTTGCCAAAAAAATATTGGTTAGGCTTAGTCATAAAATGGAAATCTCAAAGGGAAATCTTTAAAGAAGAAACAGCTGTTTAGGCTCAAAGGAAACATGAAAATCTGTTTTTGACTTTCCCACTGAAAGATACTCGAGTTCTTTTCTGGACTCACAGTGGGTGGTTATGGTGCATGTAGGCATTGGGATTTCTAAGAACTCAGAGATGAGGTTCATACAGCTTTGAATATTAAACTGAGTCAGCAGCCCCAATTTGAGATTATCCTCTGTTTTTGGCAAAGTCATAATTTTAACTGCTGCCAGATATAAAATTTATTTTATGAGGTATTAGAAATTTCAAAAACTACATCTGAATGAAGTCTCTATTGCCACTGGTAAATGTCTCTTTTAATTGTGTATGTTGTTTTGTTTTGTTTTTGGAGAATTGTTTTAAATATGCATAACCCAAATCTAAAATTCATCTAAATAATTACCTCTACCTTTTGAAATTCCAGACCAAAAGAAGCAAAGTATGCAGATTGGCCTTTAAAATGTCTTAATATTTGAAGCACATCTTCTAACGGTTTTGTACTCACCTCCTGTTTAGACCAGTTAAACTATAATTTTTCTTAGACCCTGGCCCAACCATTGCTCATGGATTTTAAATGCAAATAACACAATTCAGGAAAGTTCTTCACATAGAATTTCTTTCTATATGTCAGATTCCATTTCAGGCAATAGCATTTATAGAAATTATAGAAAAGCCTACGGGGAAAAATACCAGAGATATAGAATAACTGAAAATTAAATCAATCACGAAGAATGTGAAATATAGTTTGCATGAAACTTCAAGAAATTTAAATAAAACAACTGTTATTTTCACAAGAAGTTCTTTGGTGGTTTAGAAGTTCAAGCCACCAAGTCTAAGAGGAAGTCTGCTTTAAAAAAAACAGACAAAAACAAAAAAACAAACAAGGCAGATAATTCCTGAGAAAAATGCTATCACTGACATCATCTCGAGGTGCCTTAACTTTCATTTTCTTTCTTTTTTTTTAAAGATTTTATTTATTTGACAGAGAGAGACACAGCAAGAGAGGGAACGCAAGCAGGGAGAGTGGGAGAAGCAGGCTTCCTGCTGAGCAGAGAGCCCGATGCGGGGCTCGATCCCAGGACCCTGGGATCATGACCTGAGCCAAAGGCAGACACTTAACGACTGAGCCACCCAGGTGCCCCTCATTTTCTTTCTGATTAAAGTCATTTAAATACATCTTTTAAAGAGGGAACAATGGAAATTAGGGTACACTGAATAGTATTTTATACCTAGAACAGTCCATCATGAGTTTGAGTCATGTGTTATGAATCAGCATTCTATCTTCCAGCACATCATTTATAAAAGTGGATTTATGGCATTGAGGTACACACCATTACGTTTTTGGATCATAACTACAACAGGAGGCCAAGTCACACTTTCCTATATGAAAAGTAACTTTCCTAGACATAGTTGATTTGCACACCCCCCATGACCCAGAGAAAACCCATGTCAACATGAAGTTAGTAAAGTAGTATCAGTCAGATTAATAGCAAAGGAACAAATTATGGTAGCAATGGGCTGTTGCAACGAGCAGCACGGTATTTCCATATATTCAGTAAACTATACTGTAGTTTGGTGAATGCAGAGGAAAGGAGACTAAAGGAAGAAGTGCAAAATTAAAATTATTTTAGGACCAATTGTGAGTAAAATAACTCCTGTAGGATTTCAGTGTAGCACTATAAATTCTCCTGTATTCTAATGTGATACAGGAATGGCATAGCAGAGAAACAATCATAATGAAGCTTTCTCCAAGTGAAGATTAAACTTCCTAAACTGGATGAGGTTAACAAACACATACTAGCACCTGGATGCACTAAATATATTTAACAGCATGCCCCTGCTCTCCTATTCCAAATGTTTATATTCCTCAAAAATAATGCAAGTCCATAGCTGCTAATTTCTTGCTTATATAGTAGTAGTAAAAATGAAAGCAATCTTTATTACTATTGTGGAAATAATAAATGGGATTGAACTGACGTATGAATCAGTTTGTTTCTACAGAAATTCTATAAGCCTGATATTTTGATGTTTGCTACATTAGCATTACGTATCTGTTTCAGATACTGCAACATAATAATGGTGTCAATACTTACTAGTGTGGTGGCCAGGCACACAAGACTTGTCACTTGCAGCAAGTGGACACACAAATATTTTCAAGTTTATGGCACGATCGAGTTCATGGGGTACAGACATTCAGACTTTCAGCAAGCTGCTCCTAACTAAATGTCTGCACTGTCTGAAGGTACGAAATGGTTAAGGAAATCACCTCAAATTACCCACTTTAGCAAATCCAACTTCCTTCTGCATGACTGAAACAGGCATTTTGGTCTCCATTTTATAAATGTAAAAATGCAGGTTCGACTCCCTTGGGTCAGACCCAAGATCAGGTTTTGCGGTCAGTGGAGAGAGAGGGGAGGCTTCACTTACTCTTCATTCAGGGCACACCGGCGATTGGTGAGAGTGCCGTATTTCCTCAGCGTTTCAGTGAGCTCCGAGTAGAGTTTGTCAGCCAGGGACAATGGGATTCCTTCCCACACCAGGATGAGAATCACAATCACTGCAGCCTCACATGTGTGGCCAGCTCGCTCCCGCACCAAGCACAGTAGCTTCTCCTCACTGCAGCTTCTGCGAACCACCTGTGCGGGTCCCCATTCCACCCCAACACCCCCACCCCCACAAAAACAAAACAAGGGTCACTTGTGGCAGAGGAGGGCACTGATTTATGTATGCATTTTTTTTTCATGTCTGGGTCACAATTATGGCAACATTGGCCAGCACCTGCAACTTGCCTTTTGCTACCCATCTGTAAAATGGGGTCAGAACTGGGAGAGATGCAAAACTGCTCAATGTTTAGCAGACTGTACCAGTACAGGGAGGGGTAATGACCCCTGCATTAAAGCTAGAGCTATATGGAAGAACTGCAGGTCTTTTTCACAAAGTTCAAGGCTTTCAAAGATGACACTATAAAGATTAATGGAAGGTATTTAAAGGATTAAGGATGACTTCACATTCCAGAAGAATTACACTTTTTATCAATTTGAATGGACCTCCTCCCCACTAACGTCTTTCAATTAAATACAGTTTGTACGTGCTTTAAAAACTAATCTGCCTTTTTCTTAACAGCTAACACAAAATAAATATAAGCAATGTTCATTTCAACTGGCATAAATGACTCTTTGATCTGGTAGCCCAATTCTCAGGGTTAATGAATCAGAACGCCCAAGATTAAGACCAAAGGCCTTGTCAGGTCACTTACCCATTTAGCAATAGGACATCCCTGAGAACTTTTGCCTTCTTTACCAGTATAGATGACTCTTTCAATCCTAATAGCTTTACCCTTCTGTCCAAACCTTAAAAGAAATCCACAGAAACACACACACACATAAAATTAACAAATGAAACCAAGGCAACCAAAATATTGAACATTTGAGCATAATTTTATTCTATGACCACACCCTGAGAAATGAATGGTTTAATTTATTTTTAAAAAATAAGTCTAAGCCAAGCAAACTGGATAACACACTTTAAGCTTTGTATTTCTTTGGTATCAAAATATATTGATAATTGTAATGAACTAGTTTGAAATTATATGTTGGGTGAAAATAAATGGGAAAGCTTATTTTTAGACATAATTTCACAAAGTACAAAACTTTTTTAAGTTTGTTAAATTCAGTCTTCTAAGATATATACTATTTGATTTTTGTCCTTTACTAAATTTAGCTATTTTAAAACTTGGGGAATCACAACAGATTTTAGTTAGAACTGTTCCTCAAAGAATCTCTACCATTTTTTAAAGATGGCTTGCAAATAACTAGCATCCAGCAATTTTGAAAATATAGGATAGCTCTAGAGATAGATTATATTTTCCCTTCTGACCAAGGCACTACTTACTACTTGCTAATAACAAAAGGCACTTGGGGAAATTCACTGTATCTGCCAGGCTACTAGAGGATTATTTAGTGAATTTCTACATACTAATTTAGAAATGGATAGTTTGTAAATTGGGCAAGAATGATACAATGTCCTTGCTGCCCACAATGTCTCCTAACATATTTTAATAATAACACTGCCTACCTCTTAAAGAAAAGGCCCCCTAGCATAGTTAAAAGCTCACATCTGTGGATACCTATATGAAAGTCTCTCTCTGCATTGATTGTCTCACTCATATGCAGGACTGACTGTGTAGATTCAGGTAAGTACTTGCCTACCTGATTGACAATAAAAAAAAAAAATGCAGCTATAAATAGAATCTGTCTCTATTTCTATTCAGCATCTCACACTTACCCTCTGCTCATACTAAGGGACAACTTCCTTAGAGATAACTACTCATTTACAGCTGTAGGTGAATTTAACTCAATGGTTCCTTTCTTATACCACATCTCCCCTCTCTTTCTTCTTGGACACTTTATCATCAAGTGGGAAAGCCAGAGTGGGGCCTCTCTATACAGCCTGTGCCAGCACCCCTGTGCCTGGCAGGCGGGCTGGCTGGTTCTCGTGCGTGCCTGGGTTTTCTGGCATCCATCTCAAAGTGGGCAGCCTGTGCCAGCTCGCAGACTATTAGTCCTGTCAAATATTGTGACTCTCTGGTGAATAGCACAGTGTGGAGTGCTGGCAACCCTAGAATAGCTAAGCCTACTAATAATTACTCAATTTACAATTGTTTACTGCTTTGTATGTGAAAGCTGAAAAAATTCTGACATATACAAAAGGATAAACGTTAATCTGCCCTGTGCCTTTGCGTTAATTACCTTTCTTCCATGATTTCTCTAATAGCTGCCACATTAGGACCTGCTCCTAGATGGGTATAAAAAGGACCTTCATCTTTTTCAATAATTTGCTCTGTTGAGATAATAGAAGATTATTATTTTAGACCTCAATTATACTAAATATAAAGGCTACATCCACAAAGCTTATCCCCCAACTGTACATTAAGGGCCCTAAATGTGACTTTAAACATTTTTTTTTCTTTAAAATGAATAAACTGATGGACTAATCTATTAGAAAATGTGCCAAATAATTAAGTATATGTACATGCTGGCTGTTGGATAAAAATATATTAAATTACATTTCAGATACGGTATAAGAAATTATTTATTTTAAACAAAATAAGTGGAACTAAACAAAACAGTGAGGGAATTAGAATATATTATATGTAATACCGACTACAATCCAGTTTTTTGAACTGAAAAAAAAAATTTTATAGCTAACTAGAAGCCTGCCTGCTACTTGGATGTTAAAAGATTAAAAATTTCCTGTCTTATCTCACCCCCAGGATATTGCTCAGTTTTTATTGTCAAGGTATCTTTTTCTCCTCGTTTCCCCTCAACATTTAATTGCTGTGTTTTGAAAATAAGAATACTGATTCCAGACCCGTATTTGTATGTACTTTAGAATAATTTATGATGAGAGAAAATTCTGGAGAGAGGGTCAGGTAAAAGGAAGAGGTTCTTGTAGACTATCGAAGATGGAAAGTGGGAGGAGAGGTAAGATGATGGGAGAAAAGACTGCAGATAATTAGAACTTACCTAACATTATCTATGACATGTGTGGTACGGCACCCGTGGGGCAACCTAATATTAACCATACAAAGGGGCAGTATGGATCCTCCCTCCATTCTTCTATAAAATGAGGGGTGTCCCGTTGTAAGAGGAAGAACATGAGGTGGGTGGACCACTGGCCATATCAGTTTAACATTTGTTTTTTCAAATATCTTCTACTGTATCCAAGCTGAGAGACTATAATGAAGTCTTCATATATATTTTATATGTTATATATATATACACACACACATATGCACCTATCAGCAAAATGTTTCCCTATTCCAACAGACCTATCACGTATCTTGAATTTTAACAAAAACGTGTTGGTTTGAAAAAAGAAAAGAAAAAAGCATATTTTCTATCAAAAAGATGACACTTTAAAGAGAAAACAGAATCAAAATGAATATAAATCATACAATATTTCAAGTGTATAACTGAAGCGCAATGTCATGAGTATTCAGAACTTCAGCATTATAATTTCCCCCAACTCACCAAGACTGAAGATAATTTCCCCCATCTAGAAATTAATGTTGCAAAACCACTAATATGTTCAACCTTGAATTAATACATATTAAAAAGCTCCCACATTAAGTTGCATATAGCAGTTACTTTTCTCATTTTAATAGATGTTTTTAGAGATGCCTAGATGTCTCTCCAAGAGATGATATACAAAGAGTTAAACAGACTGATTAAAACAGATACCTTTACATTTTAAAGGGTTTGATTAGAGGAAGAAATGAGCATGCACATTGTTTTAATTTTTTTTGGAAAAACTGAATGTAAGTGAAGTTCTCTCTTGCACAGCACAAGCATCTGTAATTTAAAGACAAAAAATGTAAGCTTCAGGTTTTTTATGAGCCCTTACAAATTGCTGCCAGACTCAAGATTTTTTTAAAAAAAGAAAGAAAATCCCATATCTGAAGATGAATTTGCTAATTCTGGATAAACACCATGTGTCTCAGGACATTTCTAGCACTTACCTACACATCTGCATGATGGGAAATCATACTGAGTCTTGACAGGTGTATCCAATAAATTTTTTATAGGAGTATCTAGTAATTTGGAAGGTGACTCTAAAAAATTATTGAGAACAGAACCAGCTGTTCTTTTGGTTGGTGTCTTTTCTGAAGAAGGAGTTGCTTGCTGCTCTAAAGCTTGGGTGTGGCTATCAAGTTCTGCAGCAGTGGTCTGTCTAGTTAAAACTGTGACTGGCCCTGACATTTCAACTTTTACTTGCTTCTGTGATTTGAGAGTTAGAGCCTTATGGTCAAATAATGATTTGACCTGAAACTGCTTCAGATGTTGCTCCATGGTCTCAAGGATGCTCCTTTGCTGCACATTATCACAACTGGGGGGTGGAATCTCTTGCTTAGTTAACTTTTTCCATGTTTTGTTTTCTGGCTGTGCCGACATGGGGCGCATACAGGTATGGGGCTTGGATCCAGGTTCAACCTTAATTGGCCTGTGCATCTGACTATGACAAGACTCAGTTTGGGGATGTTGTATCTGCTGCTGTTCTTGCTTTTGCAAGAGATGCCACCTTAGAGCAGCATGCTTTTGAATGTCCTTCTGGGGAGGCGTCTGAATGTGACTTCCTCCCTGGTCAGACACAGGGAAAGCATTTGCTTGGTTTTGCATCAGGTACCTTTGCTGAGGGAGCTGTGCTGCTTGCTGGCCAGACATATCTTGGTTTCTACTTCTGTATCCCTGTAGAACTGAAGCTTGTTGAGGCTTCTGCTCTTGTTCTTGAAAGCACCTATGAAGAACATCTTGCTTTGGAGTCACATTATTTGGAAAATATTGCCTGTGATGCAAGTTTTGGGTCTTGTTTCCTGCAAAGAGTTCAGAATTTATAGTTTGTTCTTTATTTTCTGGAACTAGGTGTGTATTGTTTGAACAAGAAATCTGTAGTTTGCTTTCATTTGATTTCAAGATCTGACCATAGGGGTAATTTCTACTATTCATATTCTGTACTTGCTCCAATCCCATTTGAGTAGTATGAGTCTGTAACTCACTTGATTTCAAATACTGATTTTCACCACGGAAACATTCTTCCACTTTAATCTGGCTAAAGAATGATCCTTCCCTTTGCTGATCATTGTTGCCTTGGGGATGAGAGAAAGTCTGGGGCATTTGTTCTTTATTCTTCATTTGTAATTTTTGCTGCTGCTGCTGCTGGTTTTGAGACATAAGTGAGTTCTGGGATGGTTGTGTTTGTGTTTGTGCTGCCGGTTTATGAGGCTTGTGTTGTAAAAGGTGTGAGTTTGAGAATGGCTCAGTCTCTGAAGCCTGCTGATTCAAGTGCTGTTTTAATGTTGGGGGTATGAGTTTCTCACTTTGGGAATCTGGTCTTTGTTCAAAATAAAACCTGTGGGTGCACAATGACTGCACGTGAGCTTTGGATGAAGGGTCTGTCTTGGAGAAGTGCACCTGGAGTGAGGGTTTTTGGAAATGGAGCTGCTGGTCCACTGTACCTTGAGACTGCCCTGGATTCATCTCACCTTGGTACCTTTGTGGCCTCTGCTCTGGCTGCATTATTTTCTGGATGTAAGCCTGCCCTGGGAGCCCCCCAGGCAAGCTGGAATTTCCAGTGTATTGTTTGGAGGTCATTTGATTGGCGGGGTTGGACTGATACTGAAGAACTGACCGCAGTGATGCCTCATGACACTTTGGGTGCGATTCTGCTTGATGAAAGTGAGGGGGCTTCAATTCAATCCACCCCGGTTTCAGATAGCCCTGGGCTGGGAGCACAAGACCTCGTGTTTGTTCCTTGTCTCGACCCTTCGGCATATCTTGCTCTTTGTGTCCCATCAACTGCTGGCAGGGGTCCTGTGGATCCCCACTGCTACCAAGAATTGGTGGGTTATGCTTGAGGTGTTCTGATATTTGTCTCGCTTTCTCAGAACATGCTGGAACCGTCATCATCCCTGGAGTCTGCATGTCATTCTTGTTAACACAATTATTCTGAGGCCTTTCTGGAAGCATCAGAGAATGGTTGGATGCATGTGTAGATGGATTAGGACTCGGGGATGGCTGTGCCTCAGGTTGACCCTCTATTTTCACTTCCCTTAAAAGAGTTGGGTTACTTTGGTTGGGGTAGTGATGGTGTTCTTCCAAAACTCCATCGTTCAGAGTACTCTTTCTTTCTGAAGGAAGCTGAGAAACCTGTGGAAGAGGAGGAGGGGGAGAAAGAAGCAATTGTGATGGTGGTGATGTGGTAGGGGCAGAAAAGGAATCCTTAGTGAACACTGAGCTTTGCTTGAAGTAAGCACCATTTGTTTCATTTTGCTTTAAATACCGTTCAGAGCTGCCACTGGGAGCCTGCACATTGCTGCTGGAACCTGAACAGAATTCTTCACCAGATACCAGCTTTGTGGTTCCTTGGATAGGGCTGTTTTCAGCACGCGACAGGCATATGTCAAAAACTGATTTTTGTTTTTCTGGTTTCTGAAAGGGACAGGTCCCTATCACTGCAGCTGTCTTACTGGCTTTGTCAGCATCACGGGCCTCGGTCACCACTGCAACTGGCTCTGGAGGCAGCTCAGAGTTCGAGGTCGGTGGGACATTGGTCTGCCCTGAGGTATGCGATGGGTGAGTGAGCTCACAGGACAACTCGTTAGTAGCCTGACTGTTAATGGCATGTATGTGAGATGTGGTTTTCTGCACCGCAACGGAAACACAATCTGGATAATATTGAGACAGTGTTTTTTCCAGGAGTTCACCATGTGTGTTTTCCATGGAAGAGGCAGAAACTGTAGCACCATTAGGCATTAGCACTGCCTTGTTTTTAAGAAGTAATACAATGTTCTTGTCATGGTAGTTAGCATTTTTCTCTTCCTGCTCATTCAGAATCCGAAGCTCTGGTTTTTCAGACCTACTGCAGTTATGTGTTGAAAAACTGATGAAATCTTTAACTGCATATTCTTGGGCTACAGAGCTCACGGATTCTCTCTTATCACTCAAATCGGAGACATTCAGTTGACTGCTGCCTTTGCCTGGATTTCTTTCTTGGCTTTCCCCGAAGTTATTTCTTTCTCCATTAGCCTTTTGGTCTTGTCTCAATTTCTTGTTCTGATGAAGCCCAGAGAGAGAAGGTTCACTAACTGTGCGCTTTATTCCTCCATTTTGCAAGCACCTGGAATACCCTCTACCTTCTTGTATAAAGTCCGGACTCACGCGACAATTCTGGCTTCTTTTCATATGGGGTATTCCATAATAACTTTTGAAAGACTGCCACTTGGTGTCTCCATTTACTTCTGGATAAGGTCTCTCAGTTAATGGGCTTCCATTCTGGAGCTTTAGAGCCAGAGGTTCTGTCTGGCAGATGGGAGAAGGAGATGGTGTCAGGAATGGACTTAGTCTGTTGCCCTCAACATGGTTGGTTCTATCCTGTTCCATCAGGCTTGCTTCGGGGCCATCCACAAGGCTGCCCTCTGAATGAATTCTAAAGAGCAGGGAAACAGAAATTGAAGTGTATTTATACATATTAGCACTAATAATAAATCTGGGAGCATAATCATGGCATTAATGATACTGAAATTCCTAGACATAGCAAACTGTGATACTCATTTTCATGTTTCAGACTGACAACCAATAGCTACTCAGGAACTGATTACTCTTGTCTTCTCAGCAACTCTCAAATATTTATGGTCATAGAGAACAAATATGATCAAAAGCACCAGCTAATGTGGGAAGTTCATACTGCATTAGTAAATAGAATCAACTTCCTTCCCAAATAACTCTTTTTGTCAAAATGCTAAGAACAATAGAGAAAGATTACCAATCCTTTCTTTCTTCTCTAGTATCTTATACATCCAATCACTTGCTAAGGTCTATCAATTCCATTTCCTATATGTTCCTTGAATTATCCCACTGATACTTGGTAGCCAGACATACATTATCTTGCTTCATTATTTGTTGCAGTAGCTTTTTAGAGGGTTTCTTCCCCTGCCCACCCTGTCCTCTCCCTAGTTCTTCAAGGTTCCTTCAAATTGTTACCAAAGGAAATGTTCTCAATGCAAATCTGATGTTACAGCCTCCTTAACATGCTTTTCTGGCTCCATATTGCCTGTATTAGTAGTTCTCAAACTTAAAGATTTATTTAAAGATAAATAAATAAAGACGCTTGAAAGACAAGGCATGCTCCCTTTAGTGTTAATATTCCAGGAAATGGAATGGGGTGAGAAGTGTCGTTTATAAAATGTCATTTCTATTCTATGTCTTCCTCCACAGGCACTGGCTGCCCACTTCTACTGAGAATCCCTGCCTGACACAAATGGTTTTTCATAGGCAGATTTCTGTTTTTCTCTCCTCCTACTTCCTCTCACAGCTTATACTTGAACTATAACAACAGCTTATAAATACCCAAACATGGTAAATGGTTTCAGACCTCCATGCTGTTGTTTTGTCGGCCTAGAATGTCTTCTGAGTACCTTGATTTGCCCAGTGACTCCTATGCGTTCCTCTGAAATAGTGTCAGATATCACTTCCTTTACGATTCCTTCTTTGATTTTCTAAGAGAAAAAATCACTCCCTTTTCTATGTTATTTCTATATCTTGTATATGGTTTGCTGCTGAACATATCATACTCGATTTTATTTTGTTTACTCACTGGACTGTGAACTTCTTAAGATTACTCTGTTTTTGTGCTTAGTATAGAGTGAGCATCCAATCAGTTTCACAAAACTGATATAAATTTGCTCATCTTACAATCATTTCTTCATTCACTCATTAATTCAAATAGTTCTGAGACCAATAATGATGGAGATTTCAAAGTCCAAATGATTGGAGTGCACGGAGAAATGGGCACTAAAAAACATAAATAATCCATCATATAAAGTGAATGCTGCCCCATTCCTAGTACAGTCATGCTTATTTTCCTACAGTTTTTCTCATCACATTTATTTTAAGGAGGTAAGTAAAAAATCTAGACTATTTTCCTTTTGTGCTACAAAAAACTATAGCCATTGCTTATTAAGTGCAAAAGAGGAAGAAATAAGATATAAACACTGGAAAGCAACACTAAAGTTATCATTTACAGATAATAAGATTGTATACTGGTCAACCAAGAGAATCAACTGAAAAACTGTTACAGTTTATGAGAAAAGTAGTTGAATAAGAAAATCAATAGCTTTGATATATAACAGCAACAACCAGTCAGAAGCTTTAGTGGAATAAAATACTGTAACAGGAAAAAATATTCTTAAAACATTAGGAATAAATTTAAAAAGAAATGTGGAAGTCCTATTTAAATAAATCTTTAAGACTGTATTGACAGATACATAAAAGCAAAACAAGTAGAAAGGTATAATATGTTCTTGGGTAGTTGTCAAATGAATTTATTAATTTAATTTATTCTCAAAAAAAATACTAGCAGATTGTTGTGAGGAATTAAAGAACCTGACTCTAAAGTTCATGTGGAAAAATAAACAAACTGGATAGCCAGGAATAACCTGAAAAAGAATTGTAAAGGGGCCTGGGCAGGGCAGTAACCAAATTAAAAGATACTAAAAAAGAACAAAGGCTACTATACTTAACACAGCTTGTACTTGCAAATTAGTAAATAAAAGAGTGTTAATAAGACGAATGAAACAGAACAGAATGTCCAGAAATCGATCCTAACACACAGAAATGTGGCATCCTGATGGCACTGCAAATCAATATGATATTGGAATAACTGGACAGCTTCTGAAAAAAATGATAAAGTTGGATTTACCCCCAACATCTTACACCAAAATGAATTTTAGATGGATTTAACACTTAATATGTAAAACAAAACTCTAAAAAAAAATCTAAAACAGTCTGAGAAAACTTAAAAAAAAATAATCTAATGACTGGGTAAGGTCTTTATGACAAAAAATTTAGAAGCCATAAAAAACGAGAAAGTTCAGTAAAATTTATGCGTGCAAAAATAAACCCATAAGTGAAGTTAAAAATCACATAAAACTTTTCTTAATATACAGAACTCTTACAAATTGACAAAGGAAAAACCAATCATTGAATAGAAAAATGAGCAAAGGACATGGGTTCACTGAAAATGAAATGCAAATGGCCCTTAAATGTTTAAAAAGATGTCTAGTATCACTCATAAAAAGAAATGTAAATTAAAACTCAGCAAGATACAGTTTTGTTTCTCAAATTGGCAAAGATCAAAAAGTTTGATAATACAAGATATTGGCAAGCGCATGGGGAATAACACTCCCCTGTGTGGTTCATGGGAGTGAAAACGAGTACAAATACCATGGAGGACAATTTAACAATAATCTTCAGAGTTTCAAAGAAACTTTGTTCAGTTTTAAGAAGTTATCTAACAAATATGCTCATATATATGTTAAGTAATGTGTGAACAATCTTTTGCAATAGTAAATGGTGGGAAACAACCTACATTTTCAGGTGGAAGTATTTCCAAGTAATTAAATGAAATACAGCAAGCTGCAGAATGGTATGTATAAGAATGCTATAACCTGGGGGCGCCTGGGCGGCTCAGTTGGTTAAGCGTCTGACTTTGGCTCAGGTCATGGTCTCAGGGTCTCAGGATCAAGCCCTGTGGTTGTTGCGCCCCGCGTGGAGCTCCATGCTCAATGGGGAGTCTGCTTCTCCCTCTCTCTCCCTCTGCCCCCCCAGCTCGTGCTCTCTCTCTCTCAAATAAACAAATAAATAAAATCTTTTAAAAAATGTTACAATCTGTACATTTACAAAAATAAATATAAAATCAGCTCTGGGAGAACATACAACAAAATCGTAATAATATTTTGCATCCAGAAAAAAGAATGGAGAGTCCAGAGAATAGCACTGGGAAGGAAACTGCTTTTTATTATTGTTTTTGTAACTTTTAGGCATGTATATTACTTAATTAGTAAATAAAACTTAAAGTGCCAAGTCAAATTCCTATTGGGCAAAGAAAACAACAGAGCATAGTGTTTATTTCTGCTAGACCAACTTCCTACAAATGTTAAGAAATGGGTTAGATGTGCATAGCCACTAGTTACATATGGCTATGGGGCCCTTTAAATGTGGTGAGCACAAATGAAGATGTGCCATAAGTGTAAATACACACTGGATTTCAAAGAATTTAGTGTGGACAAAAAAAAATATAAAATAATTTGATTTTTAAAAATATTTATTACATGTTGAAATAATACTATTTTGGATATTTTATTTTTTTATTTTTATTTTTTTATAAAGTAGTTCTTTTTTTTTTAAGATTTTATTTATTTATTTGACAGAGAGAGAGAGACAGCGAGAGCAGGAACACAAGCAGGGGGAGCAGGAGAGGGAGAAGCAGGCTTCCTGCTGAGCAGGGAGCCCGACATGGGACTCGATCCCAGGACCCTGGGATCATGACCTGAGCCGAAGGCAGACACTTAATGACTGAGCCACCCAGGCGCCCTATTTGGATATAATAAATATTATATTTATATAATAAAATATATCATTAAAGTAATTTCATTTGTTCCTAAGTTTTTACTTGTTTTAGTGTAAGTACTGGAAAATTTTAAATTTCATATATGGCTTATATTGTATTTCTATTGGACAACTCTGAGCTAGACTAATACTCCTGATCATCAATAATCCTTAATAATAATAAAAAAAACTTTAGGTTCTGGAATCATGAATGAAAATTGATTTGTAGTCTTTAATGTAAGGGGTTTCTGCAAAATTAGGGCCACCACCACTTTTCAAAAATTAAGGAGCACAGAAATAAGCCTAGATAAATTCTTTAGAGACCAGGTCAATCAGCTTTCCAAATACTATAACAAAAAATGCTTTCTTTTGGCAACTGTAAAATCATTTCACAATCAAAAAGTATTTACATATACACACACGTACATTTATGTTATGTTATATATTTTATAAAACTTGCAGGCTCCATATACAATATATATTATTCTACTTAATTTTCTAGATATAAAATACTGTAAGCATTTAACACATTATTCTCTATTATGATCCGTTCCACATAATTTGGACATTCTTTAAAGTGTCAAGGGCACAATTACCATAGATGGAGTTTGCAAATCTTTTATGAGAATAGCTCCTAAGAACAAATGAAGGTGACTTAAAATGAAATTTATTTCAATATGGAACTTTAAACACAATAACCATCTTTAAATACTAGTTTAAACTATTAACAGAACTATTCTGTCTGTGACAGCAATTTCTTAACTGAGTATAACCACTGGATGTGAAAAGCTAAAGGGTTAACATTTTTAAGGAGAGCAAGAAAATTATGTACTATCTTTTTATTTTAGGACAAGGATAATTTTTTTTGAGGCTTAATTGTAACTGGTTTATGAATCTGATTCAGAAAATTCACACCAATAAAGTGCCATTGTAGAGAAAGAAAAAATATTTTATTCAAGTTCAATATATCCTAAACCACACTTTTTGTGTACATACCCCAGAATATTACATGATCCAGTAATCTAGTTGTACAGCACATTA